GGAAGCCTTCGGCCTTGGACCTTCCTCAAGTCTTGAGGAAGGCCCCAGATCGACAGCTCATCCCCAATATCGATTTTTGGACTAGTTTGGGAGTAAATGCTCCAATTACGCGGCTATCACTTTCCTCAATTCATCTTCCAAAGACCAGATGCTCCCTTTCGCGCAACTTTTGCACTGGTGTCAAGCTTGCTCTCAGTTAGGAAAACACGTAGTTTCCTCAACAACATGCCTCGACCCGCATGGAGGCTTACAACAAACCCTTTTTCGATAGGAATGCGTCACTCAAAACATTGCAATCCAGCGCATTCCCGGCTACCTAGACTTCTTGATACTATCTCCGTCGGCAGCGCCAAAGCCATGCCGCCACCGATGCGGTAAAGTTGTTGGGCCGCTCCAACTTCCCCATCGGTTCATTGTCCTGTGATTGGCTGCCAGCCATCACAAGCATTCTTCTGCACGTATTGCCTACTCAAGCCAACCAAGATGATAGTCTATGAGTCATTTGAAGAATAAGGTGAGATATTCTGATTCCAAAGTGAAGATTTTCAACTCAAACACATTCCACAACGACATGACTATAACGCTGCCATAATGAAAGCGTCCCTAATAACGCGTGTTTTCCCTCACACGACCCATGCCAAAAGCCAAACTTCTGCCAGAATGATTACAGCGTAGGGAAAAGTTCTGGCATTAAGAAGACAGGGAAGGATTCAATGCAGTGCGTTGGGACGTGCTACGCACTAGAATAATGAAGAACAGGAATGGATCCCTTAATCGTTACTAGTTTGCATTGCATCGTGTCGCCTGTGCATATGTATGTCAGCGAAAAGACATGATCCGCGACCACGCTGGGTGAGCTCTGGTGGAGGCGAAGACAAGTGAACCGAGGTGAGGTGGGTGAGGTGACGTGAGGTGATGTCATATAAGATAAGATGAGATGAGATGAGTTGAGGTAAGGTAAGGTACGGTAGGGTGAGATGAGGTAGGGTGAAATGAAGTGAGGTGAGGTGAGGTAAGGTGAGGTGAGGTGAGGTGAAGTAAAGGGTGGGGTGAGGTAAGGTGAGGTGAGGTGAGGGTGAGACCGGCAGATGAGGCACGAGACAGTGCGGCGGCGCGCCGCCTCGCACACGGCCTTGGATGACAAACAGGAGGTGAAGCGACAGCCGGAGCGAGCCGTCAGATGTGCGTGGGGCGTGAGCAGGCCGCAGTGGAATTGAAGCTCGCGCGCGGCACGGCGGCGAGGATCACCCGGCGCGCGTCCGCGATGTCGCGATGTGTGAGATGAGGGGGGGGAAGGTGTCCATGCCAGGGCGTTAGCACGTACGGGCGTCAGGTAGCGATAGGTGAGGTCAGCATTCTCCGCCAGCACGTCGGCAGCCAGGTCGTAGTACTCGTACTTGCAGTAGAGCAGCAGCAGGTTGCCGAAAGTCTCCGGAGGGAACGGGTTCTGCATCAGCAGGTACTGCAGCTTCTGGAAGCCGTCGGAGCCTGCCGCACACGGGCCGGGAAGACGTCACATGGACGGCAGGAGGCTGATCGCATCGAACGCTCTCTCGCCAGCTGCCCTACGGTAACACATTCAAAAGAAGTGACTTGGAAAACAGGAATCTTACGGCATCTTAATGAGCCAACCTGCCTAATTGTGTTCCGATTGTGCAGTGGCCAAGCTGCGTGTGGGAACCAGAGGTACGGAGTTCGCTTCCCCGCGGTGCTGACCTTCTGCCAGAGTGGAGGCAGGCGCCGTCATCCATGCGTGCAGCATGCAGATTTGCCCCCCTAAACCGACATGCTTGCTTGGAGAAAGTGACTGACAAAACTCTCAGGGAACTGATACTCCATACCAGTAGGTAGCAAGGTGTGTGCAGCCGCACTCTCCCCCGACACACCGATATCGCAAACAAATCAGCACAAATCCTGCTTCGCCTGCTTCCACGTCAATGCGTTCCGAGACAGACTTAAGGAGATGTCATGCAGCTGACACCAGATCCCACGCCGGTAGGGCTGACACCCGGGGCAAGCTCTGCTCAGCCCCCCCCCCCCCCCACCCACGGGGCGGCGGGGGTCGGGCGTCGCCGTCCTTTACGCCGCCACCGTCCACTGCACCTTGGCCTCCATGTTCATCACGGCCTGGTTGTGGAGCGTGACAGCGTCCAACTCCTCCTCCAGCCGCGGCGGCATGTCCGTCAGCGCCTCCCGCGCCGCGTCATCTGACGTCACAACACACCACAGTCAGAAAGTTCCTCCTTCAGCCGCGGCGGCATGTCCGTCAGCGCCTCCCGTGCCGCGTCATCTGACGTTACAACACACACCACAGTCAGAAAGTTCCTCCTTCAGCCGCGGCGGCATGTCCGTCAGCGCCTCCCGCGCCGCGTCATCTGACATCACGACATACAGCAGTCAGACAGCTCCTCCTATAGCCGCAGCGGCATGACCGTCAGCGCCTCCCGCGCCACGTCATCTGACGTCACGATACCCAGCACAGTAGGGTAAACGCATGCACATGTGGACGTGGACATGTAATATGCATCCATCATGTCACAGCCACCTAACTTTTGACACGTGCTGCCGCCTGAGACACTGACATCTGACCTCGTCCGGCAGTCCGGATGGAACAAACAAACATTACTGATGTCCAATGGGGAATAGCACTCAATGCACTCTTTCACCAGGTGGGCAAGACATCCGGGAGCGACCATGGTTAACGTTGCATGTCAACTCTGCCCCAACATCGAGGCCCACGCACCGCGCCACCCGACCCCGCTCCGCGCCCCAAAGGCTTTAACCACCGTGGCGGGCGCCGCCGCACCCCACGTACAGTTCTTCAGCTGGTACTCGACGGCCCGCCTTGAGATTGAAGGCCTCGACCAGGGCCGTCTCATGCAGAGTGAGTGTATTGCCGACGCTGCGCACCTCGAGGCCTTCGGTGGTCATGCCGACGCTAAGCTCCGGGGTACTGCTGGATGCCCTGCTGGATGATGTCGGCTGCCGGCCGAGTGCCGCGTCGTTCAGGCAGGCGTGGGGGCGGCACAAAGGCGGCCAAAGGGTGTGAACGGTGCGCACACCGTATCGTCCGCTGGTACGGACGCGCGGCAGCTGCTCCCGCAGAGGAGAATTGGCGCCATCCCATCAACGTGACAAGTTGTATTTGCGGAGCATGGGGTTAAACAACGAAATGGCCAGAGCAAACAACAGCTCTGGTCATTCAACACACACCTCTTAGACGTTTGGTGAACCTAAGTATCATCAGCTTGCTAGTCTGAGCTGTAGCCCTCAGACAAAATTGCTGCCAGTCCATCCGACTCTGAAGAGAGTCTAGAGATCCGCTAGTCCTCGACCGACCGCTGACGGCCGGGACTCTCACCAATGGCCTTCAGCGCTGGCGCATAATGTTTGAGCTTGTAGTGGCAGAGGGCGATGTTGTAGGAGAGATGCGGCATGTAGCCCACCACTTGCTGCGCGTGCGTGAACTTGGTGGCCGCCTCGTCGTACCGCTCATCCTGCGGCACGGAGCGACACAGCTGAACGGCTGAGGCTAAGCTCACCCGAGGCACTCTGCAGCAACTCCCAGCTGATCGGAGAGCTGCTTCAGCATCGCTGCCGACGATGAGACAGCACGCGTGAGATCCCGTCCGCTGACGGCACTCGATAGTGACGTCGAATGACAGGGGTGCTGTTCTTGGCGCTGCAAGGCACAGTCGTCGTCGCTTTTTATGCTGGCAGAAGGGCCCGGCCATTGCGATGATACTATTTAAATATCACGGGTATCATCTCCTCAGGAGCCTGCACATGGTGATATGATGATGATATCATGGTGAAATGATACAATCTGAACACCACGAGGTGATAGGGGTGTGCTTCATGTGCCACTCCCTCCTACCGACCAGCTCCTCAGGAGCCTGCTCCTCAGGTTCACTGAACATGAGCTCAGCAAATGCCTCGCCACCAAAAGAGCTTAGAAGAGCTCGGGAAGCACCAGTCCACGACAGGGTAGTCTGTCGGCGCTGCACCTTGAAGAGCAGGCAGGCCTGGTTGATGGCCGTATCCGGGTCGTCCGAGGGGCACTGCTCCACCATGCTCTTGGCGCCGGCCAGGTCCTCCTGGCCGTACTTGATCGCCGCCTGCAGCTTCGTCACCTGGCGTCGGGGGGTGTGGACCTCAGCTGCGCTCTCACAGCGGCGCGCCGGTGACACGCGCGCTCAATGTGACGGGGATAGAGGCAGGGTCCCAGATGAGCCCTCCCATCACTGAACATCACCGGAAGCGACATGACAGATAGTCCCAGGAAAAGGCACTTGAACGAAAAAACACAGGCTGAACATAAACATATCGACAGTCGCGATGTTAGCGGCTGCCCATGTCCCATCACGGCTTACGATGCAGGATCATGGTATGACCCCCTGGGCTGTAGCGGTCAGGTTACCCGCCATGATGCAAATCGCTCCCTGAGTTGGGTGTGATATGATAGTCCATTCAGCCGGCCGGCCGGGTCTCACCTTGCTGGCGTAGTCTGGGTTGTCAATCTGACTTGTCTCCTTCATGGCCTCCTCGTAGCGGCAGGCTTGGTAGAGCGACCTGCGAGTAGTAGAGCCGATAGTCCTGCAGTACTCGGTGGAACAGCTTGCACCAAGCCGGCCGTAGTACTCGGACGCTTGGTCAACTCTTGCTGGTAGAAGTGGCAGTAGCACGAGCAGCGACAGCGCCGCCCGAGACTAGAACAGCACACACGGCACGGTCACGCTCCGACCGCCCAGGGCCGGGCCCAGCACCATTACATCCAGAGAGGTCACCGGCTATTCCCGTGTGGGCAGAAGATGGGGAGGTGTCGGGTACTTGATGCCCGATGGAACAGAGGGGAACAATGCTTCGCCGGAGCCAGATGCACTATAAATTTCGGGTCTGCCGCAGGAGAAGGTTTCGGGTGACATGAAGAATAAGTTCAGCGTGTCTTTTCATGCACAGCTCACACATTCCATGTTAATTTCGCGCAGTTCGCGTAGGTAAGGCGGGGCCGATGGGGCTGGGAGAGGGAAGCTCTTCAACGGACCCCTTCCACCCTGTGACGAAGGCCGCGATGAGACGTTGGCTGCCAAACCTGTCCATATGTCTAGCCGCTCCCCCCCCCCCCGGCGTCAGCAGACTACCGAAGAGAAATGAGTCAATTCCTCTTACCGTGGGGTATGTATCCAATATGGCATTCAAAATTTGCACTGCTTCCTTGTATAGACCTTCCCGTATCTGAAAATTGTGGACTTTCATTAATCGATGGATATGATTACACATCATTGACTACGTCAAGATAATACATACGTTATCGCTTCGTTGACGCAAACCACCAGCGGTGCAAGGAGTCCCATAAACTGAAGCCTGTAGCAACGAGTGGATGAAATGTCTCGACAGGTCCGGCTAAAACCATAACACAGGACACAAAACAACGGCTGCACGGACAATTGCTTATCTCCCCAAAACAGCAAGATGATCACCTAAGGCACGTCTTACCTTTTGATAGATGGTCATAGTGTACTGACCGTCGCGGATGTTCATGAAATTCATTTTGAAATTATAGGTCGGCTGAGTTCGATCAGAATTCGCCTATTTTGCCCTAAGATATGAAAAGCGTTGCGAGAGAATGAAGTAGGTATCTTGATAACGATACGATGGCTCGATATCCTAAGGACACCTGATAAAATACAATTGTTCCTTAAATGCAACTGGGCATATACAGAAACAGCAACGACAACACACATCACACGCAGCTAACAACAAACGGAATTAGCAGAAGATTGCGGAGGCATGCGGCCCAATGTCAACTGTTCTCTGATTGGGTGAGTTTCATAAGCTGTTCCCTGATTCGTTATCGCATTGGGGCCAGCGCAAAAAGGGATGAAGCTAGTAAGGATAAATTTATCTTCGTGGCATCTAAAGCTCAAATTACGCTTTGTGAAATAAAATTCCAAAGACTCATCTTCAGATAAAACTGGAAAAAAGTGGACACAGAAATCATGCTTTACTCATGTTTTATTTGACTACTTGTAAATATATGTGAGTGTAAGCGGCGCACAAGTTTCATTTGTGGTACATCGCCAGTATTGGTTGTGCTTGCTGTAATTTCTCGTTCATTCTGTACGGTGTTGCTGCTGGGTACGTCTGGAACTGGTACTGCGCATCCGTACAGAAGTTTGTTTTTTTTGCACTACGGTGGACGCGGAGCAGATAACTTGGTATGGAGACACTGTCCAATATTTTTGACCCATTTGGATTGTTTAAGCTTTCACTTAGTGGAATTGTAAGGAGTGTTCTGTGTTAAACTTGAGGCATTTTGTGCATGGGCGGATAGTGCCGCTCAAAATTGGCGCGGCCAAGTTGCCAGAATGGATAAATGTTTTGGCTCGGTTGTTTTCGATGGAAGCTGATGTGGCTACTGCCATGTGCCAAAATATAGTTATCATTCATGATTGCTTCTGAATTCATTTGCTTCAGGTCATGCAAAACACATATCCACTGTACTGGATGCCCTCTCAAAATTGGTGTGCTGGCCTTGAGGTATGCATGTACTAAATTGCAGTCATGACCAAATTGGTGCAAATTTTGATTTGTACTTGCTTGAAAAATGTGTTGGGAGCTTTTTGTGGCACATTGCTTTTAAAACATCAATATTCAATGGAACATTGGCTCTCTGTGTGCTGGTGTTAGTGTTGCTCCAAAACGAGCTCTCATATTTACTGCAGGCATGCACTAAAATTGTTACTCTGATGTTGCTGCTATGCCTGGCATGTTTTATGTCATGTTTTTGTTATCTGGATGGGGTTTTACATAATTAAGTTGGGACTGAAGTAGCTGTTCTCTGGAAGCTGGTCATTCTCAAAGATTTGTGCCTTTGGAAAGAAAATGAATAAATGATTCATATTAGCCACTCAGATACATGAAAGCTTCATTGCCCAAGTTAATGACTCCATTCTACTTCACTGTTCATTGTTTACATTGTAGGTTGACATCTAGTGAGTCTTTACTTGACTTTTAGATACAACTTAGAGGGCAACTGGCCAGAGAGTGCTGATATTATTTTGAAAGTGTCATGATATTTTAATGGAGCTTATATAAAAAGAAGGGGCACTAGTGGTGTATCATAGTATTACTTGTAATCAGAAGCAAGACTTCTCAAAAAACATGTGTGAGGGTGCTTAAAGGGAATGTGTGGCAGTTGAAGATATTGAAGCAAGCATCAGATATCATGGAATAAACTCACTGCTAACTGTTGATGTACTTTTTTAAGTATATGTTAAATAACTATTGGTATACTTTTAAGGGGAAAGAGATGCTTTAGGCAGCATAATTTTTGTTTTGTAAATGCACTCCTCAATGCATGATTGTTTAATTAAATCATTATTCCCTGCTGACAACATTGATTGAGGGCCAATTACTGGCTTATATCTAGAAATCATTCTCAGGAATAGGACATGCAAGTATATGCAGTGCAATGTATATGCAAGTATATGAATATGCAAATACAATCAAAAATAGTATTTTTATTCATCATAACCACCCATGGTCAATGGCATGTCAAGGTTTGAATGACATTGTTCTGGCATCATGAATGTCTGGGTGACCCTGGAATAATTTTTCTGTTATAGTCTGCACATCTTTATGGGTATGAAGCTAACAAAGGAGTGGTATGTTTTTAGCATTGCAGCATTAAATTATGTATGCAAATTGGATGAAATATTTGTACACATTTTAAATGCATAACAAGGGAGAAGGAAAGCCGTGCCTAGGCATGACAAGTGCATATCCAGGGGAAGGTTGGCTGAAAAATGAGCAAAAACAATCATACATTCCATGGATGGGTTCTAATGAGCTCAAGCAAAAGGAATGATAGGCTCAAGGTGGTAACTGATAAAACATAATTGTTTTAAAAAAGATGGCAATGTTGCATGGCTGGCACTAGGTATGGAGATGAAGTCAGGGTTTCAGATCCAAAGTTGAATACAAAGTGAAGGCAGTGATATAAAGGCAAAATTGAGCCTTAGAACTTTACTGCAAAGACAAAGTGGAGGCTGTTGTTTTCGTATCCGGAAAACGTGAAGCCAGATCCGAAGGCATTGTCTTCAAATTTTGTACACAAGAAGTGGAAGCCGAAGTCAGCAGCTTCTAGCTTAGGAAGCATGGAATGATAGGCGAATGAGGGGTTAAGAATCGCGATTCCGAAATCAACACCGGATTTAGTGTACAAAGGCGTTTTAGTACACCAGTAACATTTGAGCATCTGCAAAAGCTGTATGGATCAGAAAATATCATTATTTTGCAGAGTGATTAAGACGAGGTGTTAGCGTCACAAGTGGCAGACTTGTGCACTATCCCTTCATCTTGTATGTTGGCATGTTCACGACGTTTCGGACAGTCGGTTATCCGACAGTGGCCAGGTGTTAACTGGCATTGGGAATGACCGGCTAGTATTTGACTTTCGGCCATGTGCTTTGCATGAGAGATTCGAAAAGCTGTGTTGTACATCGGAGCGGCAGGATATGTAAAATACAATATAGTAAAAAAAAGTAAAAAGTAAAGATATATAGTGAAGTAAAGTCGCAAGTTCAGTACAAAAACAACAACAAAGCCGAGGCCGGAGTTCAAGCTCCCATGAAACCCGGCCAATATTTTGAAAACGTTTGAATCCTAACCTGAAGCTTGTTATTAAAATGGCACAAAGCTGAAGCTATAGCCAAAGCCGGCTTCGCACTCGTGCCTATTTGTATCATTGCGTGCCACTTAATTGCCAAGGCCTGTGTATGCAATCTCTTTGTGTCACTGATTTTCAGGTCGGCATTTGCTACTGTTCTTAACATGCAAGTATCATTCAAAACTCCTGCTAATCATCCCATCCTCCTAATCATCCTATCAGTAGCACCAATCAGTGTGCGTGTGCGTGTGCGTGCGCGTGCGCGTGCGTGTGCGTGTGCGTGTGCGTGTGCGTGTGCGTGTGCGTGCGTGCGTGCGTGCGTGCGGGTGCGTGCGTGCGTGCGTGCGTGCGTGTGTCATGTGTATTTGCATAAATAGCCGAATAGCAAGACAATCGTTGAAAGCATCGTAGAATGAAGCGTTGTAACCTGTAGAATATGTAGAAGTCCCCTCCCCCCTACGCCACTATAAACTGCTTGCTCCAATACGTCACATGTGAAGTCGGCTGAAGGGTCACTTCCCACGCAGTGGAAGGTGATGACACGGCTGACGTCGGCCAGGGCTCAAGTTGTTGGTAATGCTACTGTCATCAGGTCAAAACACATTTCGGCCCGATTGTGTCCACAATGATGATATCCAGCATCAGTTTGTATCAGCCAGTATTCAGAGTAGGTATGCAGGAATGGAAATGGCCATTGTGACACCACAAAGCTTTGCCAGCATCTTTTCTTTGCACAGGAGCTGTTGATCATCCCAGCGGTTTTACCACGGATGCGAAGTTTTCACCCACGTAGTTTTTCGCTGAGGAAAGGTGTATCCGCTGAGCAGGGCGGTGCACCTGACGCAACGCCCCACTGCGGTCCCTGCAGCTAACACGCTTGGAGTCGGCGCCCGGCGACCGAGACGGCGACCGCAGCCATGTCGGAGGAGATCCCGTCGATGTTCCGGCTGCTCTGCTCGCCGATGAAGCTGGAGCGTGACCGGGCGCTGGACGTGCTGACGCGCCTGCTGCCGGCGCTGAGCCAAGCAGAGGTGGACCGCCTGCTAACAGAGGCCGCCGCCGGCCTGGACGACCAGGATGGCAGCTGGCACGCTCACCTCGGCTGCCTCGTCTGCATCAGGTCTGTCTGGGACACGCCCCTATCTCGGCTGCCTCGTCTGCATCAGGTCGGTCTGTGGCACGCAGCAGCGCACCTCAGCTGCCTCGTCTGCATCAGGTCTGTCTGGGACACGTCCCTATCTCGGCCGCCTCGTCTGCGTCAGGTCTATCTGTGGCACGCGTAGCACGTTGCCAACAGCTCGGATCATGTTTGTTGCGGGCTATGATCTATGATTTTATTAGGTATTTCTTACTGGTTGTGTGGATGGACGTTAATTGATGGCACAGGTCAGTAACGGTGGAGGCCGTGAAGGCACAGGGGTGGAAAATGTGATGTGTACGTCGTTTACGGTCATTCGGCACAAGAAAGCTTATGTTACGCTTCTATCAGGGGTGAGGCGTGAGTAGTCATACCTCCTCCCCGTTCCCATTATTCCTGCATATGCCGAGTAGATTTGTGTGAAATAATAGGCGAAACTTTTCAAAGCAAGTAAGGGATACAAATGTCATTTTTAAAACGAAGCTTGACCTCTGCTTCCTTTCATACAGTGACGCACAGTGTTGTCATGAGAATGCAACTTTTGCCCTCTTTACCTCTGGCACCTTACGTCACCGATCCTTCTCTTCGCTGGGTACATTGACGTGCACAAACCCGGCGCCTCTCAACAGTCCATGTTGCTCAAGCGGTAACAGTGAATTCCAGCTTAAGGTGCATGTTCACATCCATTTTGCTGAAATCTTGTTGGCAAGAGACTTCTGTGCAAGGAAACCTGCGCACAATCAAAGTTCAAGCGGAGAGATAGGCCAAGCTCATCTGTTTGGGCCCAAAACATATTTTGTTAACCCCTGTGTATATTTGTGTGTGACATGTGTGATTTCTCCTTCCCAGCACTGTCCTGGAAGTGCGTCAGACCCAGCTGCCCACAGACATGCTGGCACAGATCCTGCAGCTCTGTCCCAGTTACCTGGCCCATTGGGGGAGGCCAGGGGTTGCGCGTTGCCACCGGTAAGATCTTACGGTAATGAACCGCCTAAAAATCGTGGTTTGGTCACCTACACGTCGATGTAAGGGCCCACATTTCCTCTTGTTGGATGTGCTTCCCACATTACACTCAGGACGAGTCTGAAACTAACTGCGATGACAGTGATGTGCCCAGTAAGCAATTTACCCGCAGTTTGATCGGTCTTGTCGCGTAGCAAGGGCCGCCGATGGCTCTTTCATGTGTCCGCAAGGCCTGCCCGCCTCCGGCTCTGTTGGCGACTGTGTGCATACTAGCTGGTCGGCCGTCCGCCAGGGGAGCTGCTGGCTGGCTGTGCCGCCTGCACGTCAGGTGATATACCAGAGCGTGAAGGGACGCTGGCCTCGCTGATGATGAGCAGTCTGCAGGCGGCCGAGGACGACCAGGACAAGTGGGAGACCAGCTCGGTGAGCCCACCACGCACGTGACTGGGGCTGGACTGTCTCACTGGGCTGGGGAGGGGCAGTTCGGCCATTGGCTGGATCCGCGGCCACCGGGCGGTTAAACTGCCACATGTCCAGCTGCTGGTGCGGTTTTCACCTTCACTGCAGCAGCTGACAGGCGAGGTGATGTACTATTGACGACGCTGTCTGAGAAAATTATTCCAGGTCCGTCAGGTCCAATGTGTGGGGCAACACATGGCATGTGATGGATGTGGCCTGTTCGCTGGGGCCGGGCCGGGTGAGACTAATAAATGGACACCTTTATGTTGGGCATTTGATGAAGGACGCTGGACGATCGAGGAGCGATGTCTGTGTGCGCGTGTGCGTGTGCGTGTGCGTGTGTGTGTGTGCGCACGCGCGTGCGTGCATGCGTGTGCGTGCGTGCGTGCGTGCGTCCGTGCGTGCGTGAATGCGAATGGGTTGCCGGATGGGGGTGACTCGGAAGGATGACATGCGTGCCCCAGCGTCGCTGACCGGGGTGCCGTGGCCCCGTTTTCAGACCACATCCCGCGACTCGGCCGACGTGTTCGCCAACACCACCAGCTGGACGGTGCTGGAGACCTGCCTGCGCGCGCTGGAGCGACTCATCGTTGCCTCGCGCCTACTGGTGAGGAGGATGGCGGTGGAACTGGCGGCCGGTCGTGCTTGGCGCACCACTGCAGCATGCACTCATCCCCGGGCTGTTAGCTGTTTTGTCGTTGTTCACGGAAATGATGTCGATGCGAAGTCATCTGTCTTGCCATTGGTGTCGGTGGGATGGTAAGTCATGTCCACAGCAATTTCGAAGCAAGTCGCAAAACCTGATTACAGGTGACCCAGGACCTGCTGGACCTGGTGCTACCCACGCTGAGCCACAGGAACCGGTTCGTGCGCGAGGCCGGCTACGGCTGCATCGCCGCCTTCCTGCCGCCGGAGAACCCGGGCCCGGAAAATGGTCAGTATCGGTCGCGATGAGAACCTGGAGAGCGGTCAGTATCGGTCGCGATGAGAACCCGGAGAGCGGCCAGTATCGGTCGCGATGAGAACCCGGAGAGCGGTCAGTATCGGTCGCGATGAGAACCCGGAGAGCGGTCAGCATCGTCGCGTGTGAAAACCCGGAGAGCGGTCAGTCTCGGTCGCGGGACCCGAGAGAGCGTCAGTCTCGTCGCGGCGGGGACCCGACAGCGGCAGTCTCTGTCGCAGGGACCCGGAGAGCGGTCAGTCTCGTCGCGGCGGGGACCCCGACAGCGGTCAGTCTCTGTCGCGGTGAGAACCGAGAGCGGTCAGTCTCGGTTCGCGGCGGGGACCCGGGAGCGGTCAGTCTCGGTCGCGGCGGGGACCCGGAGAGCGGTCAGTCCGTCGCGGCGGGGACCCGGAGAGCGGTCAGTCTCGGTCACGGCGGGGACCCGGAGAGCGGTCAGTCTCGGTCGGCGGGGGACCCGGAGAGCGGTCAGTCTCGGTCGCGGCGGGGACCCGGAGAGCGGTCAGTCTCGGTCGGCGGGGACCCGGAGGGCGGTCAGTTTCGGTCGCGGCGGGTGACAGCGCTGACGTGAGACGGGCCAGGTCGCCGGATGGGGCTGCACTGGTGGTGCTGGGGCCGGCCTGGGGCCGTCTGTGGCTGATCACGGCAGGCAGGTGTCCCGCATATTATGCATGTTTTCATGATGTGTGAGATGATGAGGATATGTTATGCAATATAGCGAAGTTAGAAACTAAGCGCAAAAGACGTTTTTTAACGAAATTATCAAGAGTTTATCCGCATCTTTTGAATGCATGAATTTCTGCGCTCGGAATCATGCTAAGCAGTGATTGTTGTGTGACCCCTGACTCCTACTATCCGATCGCGCAATTTCAATTCAACGGCATAATTTGGTGGCGGAAGTTTAACGTGCCGCAATGCTCGGCACGATCCGTCCCGCCCTCTGAGTCATCTGGCCTTCAGCGCTGCCGCTCCCACCGGCCGCAGGCCATATCTATCAAGGGCAAATAGCGAACGCCTAAAGCGATTAAAGCGACTCGAGTCCACCCCGCCACGAGCGCGTGGATCAGACGGCAGTAGGTGCTCTTGCCACCTGAGCCAACGGGGAGGACAAATGTGATGGTTGTGAGCTGTAGCTGTTTTACATTTTTTAACATCTTAAAGCATGTACGCAGACCAACATATCACCCTTTGTTATCTCCGTTTTCGGCATGAATGTCGAAACACGGGGCGAAACAAGAGTGATCAGCCCGAAAATTAAATAGCCCGTTTGCCCCAAGCAGCGCTGTCGGGTTTCTTTACGCGTCACGCGCTGTCGTCCCGGACGCGCACGCTCACTGACCGGTTTGACCGTGTTCGTGTCAGACCGCGACTCCTGCGGGGCGTACGCGTTCGGCGACCAGCTGTCGGCGGCCGTGGCCCGGGGCCTGGACGACAACTGGAGCAGGTGAGCCGCCCGGCACGGCGTCCGAGGCGCCGGACCGCCGGGATTGTGCTGATCCGGCTGTACCGCCCTGTCCGCTGACCTCCTGCGGCGCGCCCTGACCTCCCGCGGCACGCCCTGACCTCCCGCGGTACGCCCTGACCTCCCGCGGCACGCTGTGACTGCTGACCGCGGCGCGCTCTGACTGCTGACCGCGGCACGCCCTGACCTCCCGTGGCACGCTCTGACTGCTGACCGTGGCGCGCCCTGACCTCCCGCGACACGCTCTGACTGCTGACCGCGGCGCGCTCTGACTGCTGACCGCGGCGCGCTATGACTGCTGACCGTGGCGCGCTCTGACTGCTGACCGTGGCGCGCTCTGATTGCTGACCGTGGCGCACTCTGACTGCTGACTACGGCGCGCTCTGACTGCTGACCGCGGCACGCCCTGACCTCCCGTAGCGCGCTCTGACTGCTGACCGCGGCACGCTCTGACTGCTGACCGCGGCACGCCCTGACCTCCCGTAGCGCGCTCTGACTGCTGACCGCGGCACGCTCTGACTGCTGACCGCGGCGCGCTGTGACTGCTGACCGTGGCGCGCTCTGACTGCTGACCGTGGCGCGCTGTGGCTGCTGACCGTGGCGCACTCTGACTGCTGACTACGGCACGCTCTGACTGCTGATCGCGACGCGTTCTGACTGCTGACTGTGGCGCACTCTGACTGCTGACCGCGGCACGCCCTGACCTCCCGCGGCACGCTCTGACTGCTGACCGCGGCGCGCTCTGACTGCTGACCGCGACACGCCCTGACCTCCCGCGGCACGCTCTGACTGCTGACTGTGGCGCGTTTTGACGTACACTTGCGAGTCCCGCGGTGCTGGTTCCATTGGGTGGTCGCGGACACCGGTCTCCCTGAGAAGTGCGCTGTTAGTTCCGGTGGTTGCCTTAGGTTGGATTGACGTGCCCTGGCCAAACATAAGGTGTAACAGTGTCGAGCCACGCTGTTGGTGATGTGCGTTTGCAGACCACTGACCCCCTCCGGCGACGGCCGCTGCGTCTGTGCTTGTGCGTATGTGTGTGCGTGTGCGGACAGCCCCCGGCCAGTGCCGGCGTGGGACGGCATGTGACGCCGAGCCCCCGGCCGTGCCAACCGGCAGGTGCGGATGGCGGCGTCGGTGGCGGCGCGCCGCTTCCTATGCGGCCTGACTCCGGAGGAGAGGGAGCGCCACCTGCCCTCCCTGCTGCCCCGCATCTGCCTCAGCAGGTGCGGCCGGCCGGACACGCCTCACGCAGAGCTGCGCCGTCAGCTCACGCAGCTGGGGCTGTGACGGATGGTGGTGTTAGGCCGGGCTGTGACGGATGATGGTGTCAGGGCGGGCTGTGGCGGGTTGGTGGTGTTGAACCGGGCTGCGACGGATGGTGGTGTTAGGCCGGGCTGTGACGGATGGTGGTGTTAGGCCGGGCTGTGACGGATGGTGGTGTTAGGCCGGACTGTGACGGATGGTGGTGTTGGGATAGGACTGTGGCGGATGGTGGTGTTGGGTTGGGACTGTGACGGATGGTGGTGTTAGGCCGGGCTGTGGCGGATGGTGG